CCGTTAGCAATCTAGATGCCTCTTGGTGTCTGTTCATTGAACCGAATAATTGACCTGACCTTTTTGTTGAGGTCTTCATTTTTAGAGGTTACCCAGTTATCCTTTTAATACTAAATATTTAGAAAATGTACAGTTGGTTCATGTTTCTTTGTTTTGTTTTAGCAAATGGTGAAATAAGGTAGATTATCCTCCTTGTTGACTAGCTAGTTGCACCTGATTTCAGAAGAGTTTGCAACACTACTTAAATTGAATGATTGCATGATAGTTAACTTTCAACTCAATATTCTGTTGCAGTTCATTCATGTTCATGATTCCATTAACATCTGGTCAGGTATTGAAACATAGTGTTATATAATTCTGCCTTTGTGTTGTATCGTTTAGAATTACATATATGACTTCACTTTAACTGCTAACCACTTTTAAGGAATCATTGCTTCATGTGATCTTCGATCTTAACATATGCTCGAGAAATGGAACTTGGTACTAATGAGCAGAAGATTAAAAACTGAGTCCACCATTAGCCGACTAGTTTCATTTTGATGTATATACGAGTTATGATCAATGATCTCTGAATGTTTCATGGTTGCTTGAAATTTATACTTGTGTGAATATCCTTTTGGGATGAAGTAGCTAGCATGATGATGCCACAACTATTCACTCATTTTGGCCGACGTTCGAAATTGTTGCTAATTGACTTGCACCATGCCTCTGTTTTTCTATCTAATGAATTGACTTGGATTTTTTATCAGTGTCTTCTTCTTTCTTAGAGATCATCCAATGATTTTCTTATAATACTAAATATTGAGCCAATATACATCAGTTTCCTGTTTCCAAGTATTGTTCTAGCCCACTATTAAATGTGGCCATCATCCTCTCAATTTTTTCAGTAGCAACTAGAACCTCATTGTTAGAGGAACTTTATGCGCTGATCGTTAAATTGAATGCAATGATCACATTACAGTCAGCTTGTCAGTGAAATTTTTTGTTGCAGTTCATTCTTCTTCATCCGGCCATTGCATCTGGTTCGGTATTAATTGCCGTTATTGATCACAGATCATATGATGTGCCATTCCTGCAGGGTAATTCCTTAGCTGTTCACATTATTTGTAGGCTACTAAGATATTATAAATAGTGGATAAATTCTTTGGAGTGCGGTTACAGTTTACAATGTTGATTCAGTATACAAGTTTAACACCCGTGATCTGAAACCAGTGAACAGCTGAAACTGGAGTTATAGTTCTTGTACCAGAGCAACAACGCGGGCATCCTTGACTGTATTCTTTGCTTTGCGGAGCTAGCTTCTTTTAACCAATTCTGTGGTACCCTTAGCTTAAGAACGGGAAAAAAGCTATAAGTAAGGCCATTGGTTTAGTAGCTGATAGCTGGGGTGAGGTTAACTTAAGCTGAGAGTCAGTTAAGAACACCCAGCCAAAACAGTGAAACATGTGTGAGAAACAACAGAACCAAACCAAAAGGAGGAAGACCAGGGAGAAAAATGGTTCAAACACTGGGTGGAAAGAATAGATAGAAAATACTAGGTGAAAAATCAGATGCAAAATGGTGGGAAACAAAAAAATGTAGATTGGAAAATAAACAAAGAAAAAACTAGCAGTACTTTAAAGTTCCTAGGATTGTTCAGCAGTACTTCCTAGGAGGTTTTCACCCTGTTTCTTGAGTAAATGTGTACCTAGCAAAAGAAGTACCTATCATCCAAATTAACATGCCACGGTCCAAATTAACTTACATTCGCTTTCCTAGTTATCTAGAGGCCCAATTAACATGTACCTAGTTTTTATTGAGGTTTACTTTTCTAGAGATTACCCAGTTGTCTTTTTAATACTAATTATTTAGCAAATGCAAATTCGATTCCTATTTTGTGTTTTGTTTTAGCCGACGGTGAAATGAGGCAGATTATCCTCCTTTTTAGCTAGCAAGTTGCACCTGATTTTTATAAGAGTGTGGCGCGCTAGTTAAATTGAATGATTGCATTATAGTCAACTTTCAAGTGAAATGTTCGGTTTCAGTTCATTCTTGTTCATGATTCCATTGAATCTGGTTTATTGAAACATGTTATATAATTCTGCCTCTGTGTTGCATCATTTGGAACTATATTTATCATTTCACTTTAGCTGCTGATAAACATTTAAAGGAATCACAGCTTCATGTGATGTCTAATCTTAACATATGCTCGAGAAATGAAACTTGTGTGCAGAGCCATGTTCTTTTTTTTGTGACTGGTGTCTGGTGCAATGCTCCACTATGAGATGGCTAGTTTCTTTTTGATGTATGCAAGTTATAGTCAAGAAGCTCTGGCTGGTTAATGATTTGCATGAACACTTGTGTGAATATTCTTTTGAGCTGAGGTGGCTAGCATGTTGATGCTTAAATTATGAAGTAGTTTTGGTCAATGTTCGAAATAGTTGCAAATTGATCTGCCTCATGTCTTTGTTTTTCTTTGAACTGGAGAATTGCCTTGGTTTTTTATCGATGTCTTCTTCTTCTTAAAGGTCATCAAGTGGTTTTCTCAATAATATGAAATGGTTAGACAATATACATCAATTTCCTCTTTCTATGTACTGTGTAACCCACGATTACATGTGGCTGATCATTATCTTGATTTGTTCAGTTTGACCTGATTGTCAGGGGCGGGGCCCATTGGGCTGATCCGTATGCACAGGAATACGGGTCCAAAAAAGTGCTAGTAGTACCTATCAAATAAAAAGGCCCAGTGCATCAGGGTCTGTTCTTTCCAGCACGCCTCGGCAGCCCACACTGGCCCATATCCTTAATCGATCCACGCACGGGACACGGGGGCAGTGCCCTAACCTAAATCCATCGCGTACCCAAGCAGCAGGGGGACTGCGGCAGGGCGATGGACGCCGTAGGCCACCGGCCACGCAGCCCGAGTCTTCACCGGCGAGTCGACGCCGCACGTCGGTCCGCCGGTCCGGCTCTCGGTAATTCGGCAATCTTTTCAAATTCCAATCTTGAGTCTTCCGCTCTGTCTTCCATGCGTCCATAGATTACAAGTTTTACAATAGACCACACTTGCGACTAGTATTTTCTTGCTTTTCCTATTTTGTTTACAAACTGCAACAATTATATATAAATTTGTAGCAAATAGAATAAATCACTATGTTTTGACAAAGCATGAGGGCATTTCCTAGGGTTATAACTTCTAATTAAGAGTATATTCCATTTGTCTATATAGGTATTCATGTCTCATTTCTAATTTGTATTTGTCAAATAGAGATACTATGGACAAGTTTTTCTCAAAAGAAAGGTACTATCACAAGATGTTCCAAAAGACATAAATTGGGAAGAGGAGTTTCAATATGATCCTGGCAAGAGAAAATTAATAGAACATTTTCATCCTAATTTGAAAGATCTAGTGAGAAGATAATATATTGTACTTGTAAGTTTAATTCTATTTGTATGTTGTAGGTTACTGAACCTTGTTGTGCGACGATGTATTTTGGAATTTGGAAATGCAAAGCATCCTTTTCAAGTAATTTTGTCCCCTGTTTTATCATTACATTAAGAATTTTGATGGCTGCATTTTGTTTTCACAAATTGTCTTTTGTTATATCCAATAATATGTGTGCTAGAAGCTATGGAACACACCTATATCCAATACACCGTTGCCTGAAAAATTTATGCCTGGTCAAAGTGGTGCATTGGGTAACATTTACTCCAGCTCCGCCCCTGCTGATTGTTAGAGGAGTTTGGACACTGCTTGTTAGATTGAATGGAGCGATTGCATTACAGTCAACTTGTGAGTGAAATGTTTATATCGCGATTTATTCTCCATGTGTGAATTGCATCTGGTTAGGTATTGAATTGCCCTGTTATAGACTTATAGTTCCTTTTCTCTCTGTATCTGGTGCAGGGCCATGTCGAGTACCATTTCTCGAAAGTAGATTGCACAATTTGTCACTGCACGTATGGTGTGTCATTCCTGCAGGGTGATTCCTCAGTTGCTCACATCACTTGTAGGTCCCATTATCTGTTGCATGCATGCCCCCTCTGGCATCTGCACGCGTGTGTGATAAATATACCCATTGTGGCTGCAATATGTTTGAATGATATCCACTATGAGCCTGTTAGTTTTTTGTACAAAGTTATGATCGAGAAGCTCCAACTGTTAATGGTTGCATGAAATTCATATTTCTGTGAATATCCTTTTGAACAGAGGTGGCTACTATGCACGTTGATGCTGAAATTACTAAGTCGTTCTGGTCAGCGTTCTGAGCAGAGGTGGCTACTTTGCACGTTGATGACTGCAAAATGGTCTTATATTATGGGACGGAGGAAGTATTTGTCAAGCTGACCCGCTTGTTG